TGCCTGTACTCATTTGTGCCCCAAAAAACTGGGCTTCTGTGTCGGTCAGGCGGTTCCGAGCCCGCCGTTGCTGCACTGCCACCGCCTGGTCGCCGCCCGTCGCCTGGGTTTGTAAGTCGGCGGTTTGGCGGCCCCGTGCCGGCCGTCGCCGCCCCGTTGCCACCTCGTCGCCGCCCGTCGTCTGGGCCTGTCAATCGGTCTGGCGGCTGCGTGGCCGCCGTCGCCTCCCCGCCACCGCCGTGCCACCGCTCTAAATTGCACCGCGTAGATTCTCCGTTCTAGCAAAAATAAAGTTCCTCCACCACCCCGAAGTCGGACTTATTCCCCCTCGGGATGATACAATTTCGCATACGATTCAGACCCATCGTTCATTCGAAACATGAGTCTGCAACGTCCCAGCCAAACCAAGTTCGACCCCCACCCCGCCCGTGGCAAAAGAACACCATGCGCGCAGCCATGTATCACAACTCATCCATTGTGGAGGCCGCGGCTTGCGGCTTGCGTCCGTCGAAGCGACCCCCCCTGCGCTGAAAGAAACTCGCGGGGCAGCCGCGGGACAGCGGCGCGGCCATAATGCCAAGCGAAGGAAGGGAGGGACAGACGCAGCATAGCGTTTGAGGCCGGCTGCGCAGTGGCATCGCTGCTGCAGCACAGCGACGGGGTCGCATCAGGGCGAGACAAGAACGAAAAGGGTTTGGAAGAACCACGGGGTGGGGGGCCCCCCCCAAGGATACCAATTGGAGACAGATCATCGTCAGGAAAAGAAGATACGAGCATGGACCTGAAGGAAACCAGACGCGAGGAACACCTGGAGGGCGAACAGCAAGACACGCCCAAACGGCAAATCGTGGACACACAACTACAAGCATGTACGACTCGATGCGAGACGGCATAAGCATATGGAAACACATTCAAACCCTGCTGTATGATCAGTTGTAAAAATTGCCGGGGCAAGGGAGCTCTTGCAAGCATGAGCGAAGGCGCATTGGTAGGTCACGGAGTCGAGACGCATATGGTCAGCGATTGAAGGGCAGGGGGGCACGCATGCGCGCACGAACTCAAGCGGGAAACTGAACGCGAGGAAGCGGGAACGCGGTCATGAGCACACGAATGTGTGCGTGAGCATGCTCTATGCGCGAGTCGCGTAGAAATCCCACCAGCGCTTTAGGGCGTGAGTGGTCTAAGGGGCTCGGTCTTGAGCCGTCCCCGCGATGGACTAGAGCGTCCAAAATGGCCCAGATTGGTCCCAAGACGGATCCAGAAAGTCCTAGGTGGCCTCCGAAGACGCTCAACGTCGCCCGAAATGGTTAAACATCGCTTCCAACTTGCCGTCAGGATGCCCCAAGACCGCCCCAAAGCGGCTCTAAATGGCCACGGCGCTCCCCAAGGAGACAACCAAGAAGCCACAATCCGTCAAAAACAATGCTTACAACATGTGTGTATGCGTGTACGTGTTGCCTTCTCGCCTTTCTCGCTTCCGATGGGCTCGCGAAGCCTCGCGGCGGCTCCGAAATTGCACAAGAAAGTCCCAACTGGGGCCCAGAAGGATCCCGGAACGGCCCCGCGAGTGCTTAATAGCGCCTCCAGGGCGTCCCAGGGGGGGCCCAAGGGTCACATCGCTGCGGCTCGGGCGCGCGAGGGGGCCCAGGAATTGCTTCACCGCCGCGCCGCACCTGTAGCGTTGGCGTTTGCACCCGCGCCGCAGCGCCTGGCCTGGGAGCACCAGCCGCTCACGCGTTTTGCACTCGGCGAGTGGCTGTCGGTCGGTCTGGGCCAGGATCCCGCGAGGGACGGCGACCAGGACGAACATGTCATCGTCTGGCTGGCGCGCTGGGGCACACGGGCCACGGGGCGGGAGTGATGCTGGGAAGACGCATATACAACCGCGGTCGCTTGCGGCGTGGATGATTATTATCACGACGATGCTGACGACAGCACAAGCAATGCCAGCCGTTGGCACTGCCGCTATAATTATAATGCCGGTGGCGAGGGCAGACATGAATTGCTGCGCGCTGCTGTCAATGACGACCAAAAGGTCCTGCTCAAAAACGCTGGGGCAAACCCGGGACTGCGCCGGGACAGCCGCGGGACAGCCGAAGCAAAGCGGGCCGACGGGCGGCGAAGCCGCGGGACGCCGCTGCAAAGCCGCGGGGCGCCGCGGGACAGCCGTAGGACAGCGGCGGGACAGCCGCGGGGCAGCCGCGGGACAGCCGCGGGACAGCTGAGGCAACCTTGGGGCCGAATTGCTGCGGGAGCGCAGGAATCTGGCATGGAGGGTCATCCATGGGTCAGATGACAAGGAGCAGGAGCAGGAGGAAGAAGGAGGAGGAGGAGGAGGAGGAGAAGAGGGAAGAGGAAGAGAAACAGGAGGATGAGGAGGGGGAGTAGCGAGCACATAAAGCGACGCGCCGAGTCAAGGATGGGACGGATGGGAGCGATGGGAGAAGATAAGAACGCACAATCGCACACATCAAATGGGAGGGCCGCCGCGCGATTGCCC